ATTTTTTAGATAATATCTGACGAAATTGTTTTTAGAAGCATTTTTATTAAAGAATCATAAATGCAACGATAAACATATTTAATTAATTTTAGTGCCAATTAAGGCCTTGATTAAAAAAAGAATTATGAATTGTAATTATTTTTAATGATCCGCGGAAACCCTGGTTCATCTGGCGCATGCCCTCTATGATCTCCAAGGAACTCAGAGCGGAGTGGACGGAGCAACAGCGGCGGCTGTAGGCTTTGCTTTGTGCAGGCGGTCTGGAGCGCAGCGGGGCGGAGCGGAGCGGAGCGCAGACGGAGTATGTGGGATTTCGGGGTAAGTCGGTCATCGAGGGCCGCTGTCCTGCAGGTTTTAGAGGTTTCCCTGCTTTAGCACAGCTGTTTATGATGATTGCAGTTGAGCAAAAGCCTGTTAATCAGCTTTCAATTAAAATCAGCTGTGCTGGAGCAGAGAAACCTCTAAAACCTGCAGGACAGCGGCCCTCCAGGACCGACTTTGAGAATGCTTACGAAACAGTCTAAAGTTTGTACACCAACTTACCAACTCTTGTCATCAGTCTAATAGTTATTCCAGATATAAGTTTTCATTTCTGATACGACACGGATATCAGTGCGTGATACAAACATGAATCATACACACTTCTGTGTTTTTTTTGTGTGTTTTAACGATCTTGAGTGGAATGTCAGAAAAAAGCTTCATCTAGTGATTTTACTCGAGCAATAGAAGTGAGAACCATTGACTCGTGTATTAATGACCAACAGGTTATATAAACTGTAAACAGAAGCAGTGTTTCCATTTTTAAATGCAGACCAATACTTTCCAGTATCTTTCATTAGGCAGATGTTGGACCGATATCAGTATCCACTGGGACATTCTTAGTTTTTGCCATTATTACAAGCAAAATTTCCCACTGTGAGAGAATAAAAGTATTTCTAATCTACAAGTCAGAAACTTGTCTGGTTGTAATCCTTGTTTTCTTTTCTATGTATAATAATTTCACCATTTGAAGGTTTGTAAAACTGTCCTGGAAGCGGAGACCTGTGGAAACCTTGCTGCAAAAAAAAAATAAAAAAAATTATATATTTTGTTTTTACTTGATTTGGCATGAAGCAAAAACCAAAGAATAGTTGTTAAAGCTCACTTTTAAGCATAGTTGGGGTTCTGTGGTGCTGTGGGCCAGGTTGTCTTCTATGGCAAAATTATTAGATTGAATGACATTATGGACTCTGGAGAAAATGTGGTGAGCTCTACCTGTAATCTGGAAAAAAAAAGGGAAATTTTAATCTGTCAGCCTCCATACCCAATTACTACAGAAATCCTGCAGGGGGAGCTGAAGAGCAGAGTGTAGGAGAGGAACTGCACAGAGGACTCTAAGAACCGCCTCTCTGTATGTTCATTAAATAATGTAGCATGGAGTTTTCTCTTAGCCTGGGATGAACATCTGCACTCAAATCAGATGTTTCTGTATATATATATATATATATATATATATATATATATATATATATATATATATAATAAAATGTATAAGGTTAGTCTTTTGCAATGGGTTTTTTATCTGTGCATTTTAGTATTCATGTTTGCCATGTGGTGGCGCTATCTCCGTAGTATTGTCCTCCACAACAGCACGAAGGATGTTTCCATATTAGTTCCCCTCAGAATAAGAGCTTCTGAGGTCCAGTCTGTTAGACTGTGTGATCATGAGACTGTGGCTGTGATCCAGGTGTGGCAGATCAGAGTGGACGTCCACACGCTGAACAACGACGGGAACCTGATGGATGCCGCCAGCGTGGCAGCCATCAGCGCTCTGTGCCACTTCAGACGCCCAGATGTGGGCATCCAGGGAGAGGAAGTAACAGTGGTGAGTCGGCCCAGTCCGTTTAGGAGAGACTTTAAATGTCAGGTTATGTCTTCCCAATATGAAGGTAGTTTTTTTTTTTTTCTTTCTGTCTGCAGTATAGTCCAGAGGAAAGAGACCCCATTCCTCTGAGTATCTACCACATGCCCATCAGTGTCAGCTTAGCCTTCTTCCAGCAGGGGTGAGGATCTTCACGATTTCTCTATTTGCTCTCTTCAATATATTTAAACTCCAGACAGTTTTCTCTTTAATGCTCTTCCATCAATGTGCAGCAAACTGTTCTTAGTTTTCTCTTAGATTTTCAAAAGAAAATGTATTGCTTTAATTTAGCTAGTTGCTCTTTTATCTGCCCTTAATTTACATTTAGGTAAATAATTCATTTTCAGAAACATTTTATCTGCATTAAAACCTTTGAACTTTTCCTATAGATGTTAAGCAGCTTTCTTCTGTTTCCTCTCGTAGTTGTTTTAGTCACAATCATATTAATGTTTAACCTACAAAATGCAGGAAAACTTTCCTTTGATTTCTGCTGGTTTAATGTTACAAAAATAATATGGTCAATATTCAATTTATTCATATATTGATATGTTGTCATTGTTTTCCCGCTAAGAATGTTTATGTTTCAGGAGGGGAGGGAGAAAAAACTGCAGCAATATCAAAATTAATTAGTTATTTATATTGGTGAATTTTAACTTCGGTTAAAGCAACACTGTGTAACAGCTGTATAAAATCAATAATCCTGCCTTATGAACGATGTCCGCTCTGCAGAACCTACCTGCTGGTGGACCCATGTGAGCGGGAGGAACGTGTGATGGACGGCCTGCTGATGATCGCCATGAACAAACACAGGGAGATCTGCTCCATTCAGTCCAGCGGAGGCATCATGCTGCTGAAAGAGCAGGTGAGAAGAAGGAAAGGCCGCCATGTTTCTACATCCTCCTCCAGTTTGAAATCAGATCCTGAAAGTTACCACATCCTCCAGCACACCTGGGTCACGGGCGTTCCTAGAGAGTGCTTTTTCCGGCTGACACCCGGCGCTGGTTGTCAGTGTCCTTTATGACCCCACCTCTGCTGATGAAAGTAAAATGGTTGATCTGTTTACAGACTGAGAGGGGTTCTTCTTTGCACTGTGTTAGAGCACTAATCTAGGCTGAGCAAGGAAAAAACCATCCCGTTCTGATCTCCCGTGTTCTTGTTGGTGCATCTCTAGAGTTTGTATGACATGAACAAGCTGCTGTTCACCAGTTGGCCATGGGACGAAGAGAAGCCAGAGGGTTTTCCTAAAGAAGTGCAAAGATTATTAGCATTTAGCAGGTTAAACCAAAATCTGATGACATGGGTTAGTTAAACTTTTTGCAGCCCCTAACAAAGGAGGGTAAAGTACCCACAAATTACAGTTATGAAAAGTACCGCTACTTCATTATATTTTTAGTCAAGCAAGAGTAAAAAAGTATTTGATTAAAAAATAAAACCAAATAATCGAGTAACTGACCATAACACCCGTTATTTAAAATTAAAGACAGACCAAAATGTTACATGTAAATTCTGGTATTTTAATGACTATACTAAAATAATAAAGACAAAAATATTTTGTTTAATGTATTAATACAACATAATGTAGGAGAAATGACAGCTGGAGGCGGGGCTTAAAGCTTCAGCTCCAGCTCTGTGGGAAAAGCATCACACTAAATAGAGCTGGCTGGAGCTAAAACCCTACAGATGGTTTTAAATTTATTACACTGAATATATTTTGGATAAAACCAAAGCTGTGACTGCATTTATGTCCCATACCGTTAGAGTGAATGTCCTCATTTCTTTCCTCTCTTCTTTCGAAGGTGATGAGATGCAGTAAAATAGCCAGCGTCAAAGTGTCTGAGATCACAGACCTGATCAACAAGGCTCTGCTAAATGACAAGACTGCCAGGTGAGCTGTTTAGGGTGCAGGATGTGCTAACATCATGTGACTTAGAGTTGAGCATAGATTTTATTCTCTTATCATGCATAATTCTGCTCATTTTCTGTATTTACTGGCTGTTTCGGTTGATTATTGGATGTTTTTGAAAGGTAAATCCTCCTGCATGTTGAATTGTAAATTCCAGAAAATATGTATTACTTCATTATGATTACATTACAGGCATGGATAAACTCCTGAAAACGAGGCGGTGTAGGCTAATTTCTGTTTTCTGAAAGAGTTAAAATTGTTTAAACAGCGGTGGCAATATGCTCTAAAATAATTACATTTGAAACGTGGTATGCTAAGCTAACATTAGCTTCCCTGTTTATGTTTAGGAAAGTTAGGCTTGAATGAATTCTGAGTTACAGTCGAACTCAGACATTTACATGTCAAAACACGTCCAAACTACTTAGAAGCATTTTTCTTTTTAATGTTCAGCGTTGCATTTACAAAATCTTCAGGTAATGAGAGCTCGATGTTGCATGTGAAGGAGAGTCAAACACTTGAAGAGAACAACATTATACTAGCCGCAACTAGGAATAAAACATTACTGTCTCAAGAGGCGGGATTTACTAAAAATAATTAGCCAATCAGCAGACAGTTAGCATTGTCAGGTTTGTTCCACCCTCAGTTGCACAAATTAACACAAGTGCACAGAAACGGTCCACGGAAGCAGGAGAGATGCTGCAGGGCCTTAAAAAGCAAATGAGGAGCGCAGAGAGGGAGAATCCACTTATATTTGTGATATAATGGGGGCCTTTTACTTCTGAATCTGCATGCATAGACCATTCAATATGAATGTGTTTAGCACAGACGTTTACATGTTTTAAATAAAACTGCTTTTGTCAGTATTTATTACGCCTTTGCCATTTTGGTAGCCTAGTAAACTAGCCTCAACCGCTTGCGGCCAAAATCATTTTAGCCTGCGAGTTTGGCTGTCCAATCGCTGTCCAATCGCAACTGAGAAATGTTTTTATGCAAAGCGGGCGTGGTTTTCAGGGAGTGACGACAAAGCTGAGTGACGCTGGAGAGCACAACGAGGAAGATGGCAACAACTATCGAACAGTTCTCGTTTGACTCAACTTTGGAATCAGTTTTGGAAGGAGTAGACTTGGGATTTTTGTTGAAACGTGAGCAGGAAGAGGCTCTACGCTCATTAATTTTTAAGAAGGACGTGCTGTTTGTTTACACTCCCTCACCAGCTTTCTGTCGCGCTTACTACGTCACAGTCAGTTGTGCTCATTGGTCAGAGTGTTGGCCAATAGGCAAAGACATGGTTTGAAAAACAACGGGTTGTTCTTCTCATCAACAATCTTCCGATGTCTCATTCATCGGGGCCAGACTAAATTATACATTTAATCTCACATTTAGTCTGGTTCATCAGGCTACCGTTTTGGCAGAATTTTGACTGCACACCCACACTGTTTGGTGCTTTTTTTGTGTGTATTTTCCCAGGAAAGCAGGTGGTAGGTGTGGTTTTGCCGAGTCTATTCCTCAGGAGCGGATCACAGCTCTGAAAACGGACCAGACATCTGTAGAGATGACGGGCGTCGGTGAAACAGTCAGCAGCATTGTCCAGACAGCCGAAGCCCCGCCCCAAAAGTATCCTCAACTCATGTTAAATGAGACCAGAGAAGAAGAAGAAAAAAAAAATTATTTAGTTAGCCTCCTTAACCCATTTCATCAGGGTACCATCCCCATTGTTGCCAGTACCAGGTGTTGGACAGGTAGGGGAGGGGATGCGCAACACCTGGGGCGTGGAGGAGGAAGAGGATGGTGATAGCAGTGGAGGGGACAGTGGAGAAGAAGCTGTAAAGATGGAGGAGGAGCAGCATAAAGAAGACAAGAGCAGGAAAGGTTTGCTTATTATTTTGGCTGGTGTTAAATTTATAAAGGAAGTGGTTTGTACAATTCAAGGATTGTCTCTTTTTGTTTCTCCTCTGTTACATTTGGTTTAGTTAATCAAATATATTTTGATATTTGGTGAAGATAACGAGTAAATACACACACCTGTTTTAAGATTATGGTTTCATTCACAAAAAAGTTGTAAAGTACAAACTGAATACTTTTTTACTACACTGTAACATTTCTTTTTCCTTTTCAGTGGATGTTGTAGAGATATTAGACAGCGAAGAAGAGGAGGAGGAGGAGGAGGTGGTCATCCTTTATCCCGAGACAACAGAAAAGGCTAAGTATGTGCACCATCTATTAGTTTATCAGAACTGAGGAAGTAAAACACAAGTTATTTCTAATGCTGTTTATTTTCTTCCTTTAGAAATAAAGGATCCAGTTCTGGTCAAAAGGGGGCAGCAACATCCAGGAAACAGCAGAAAAAATGACTGATCTTGAAATACAAAGCTGAAATAAAATGATATTATGATGACCTGTAATGTCAGATTGACCAAATAAATGTGTTTTTTTTTATGTGTACTGGCGTATTAATCATATATGCAATTTTTCAAGAATTGTGCAGACTTTTAAAACATAACTAAAATTACCAGAAGGCAAGAGTTTACAAATGTCTGATAAAGAACTTTTCTATCCTTTGTGCACCTTCTGATTGTTTATAAGAGACGATGTCAGAGGTGAATTTCTCTATTGTTAATGATCGATAAAATTTTTATTTATTTTTCATTTTTTGAGAAAGACCAATTAAGTTTTATTGTAAAATTTTAAATTGAGAGTCTGGCAAACGCCAAAACTAAGGTCCCACCGAGATTTGAACTCGGATCGCTGGATTCAGAGTCCAGAGTGCTAACCATTACACCATGGAACCTATATGCCCTACCTAGGTAGACAGTTGTGAATTTGGACTAGCGATAGACGTTTAAGACGGAAGGTGCGCAGCTGACGGATATAACTCGCCCAGTTTATGAGTTTGTAATTCCAAAGTTCCCGTGGATCCACTCGTAATGACCTTGGATAAAGGGACAGCCATAGACATTAATCATGACGAACGTTCCTTCAAGCCTAATATCGCGATATTCTATGATTCATTTGTCTTGTTTATTGGCAGGGATTACAGATTAATTTGTTCTAGAGGGCCCAGCAACACCGATGCTTCGTCGTTAGAGTCGAGCTCATAGAGCAAAACTATAAAATGGTGCGCGTGCCGTTTAAAGATAATCACGTGACCGACACAGGAGCGAACTGACTGATGCACTCCACTGTATTTATAAACGTATCGTTCGGCGGGATGCATCGGTTTTAGCTAATTTGCTGTTCATTGTCAAATTCTCATCAAGAATTAAGGAACACTATTATGGCAAAAACAAGGTTTCACCCGCGTGGGACATTTTGATCGTGTCATCCTTTTCCTCTCAGTTATCACTCGAGATGTCTGAATTAAATTCGATGTTTAGTTTACCAAACTTACTGTAATTATTACATTGAATATTTATTGTAAATCAGTCACAAGCTTCCTCATTTACATGTTCACCTTAATTTCCAGGTTTTTATGATGTTTACATTTTTATTGCCTGAATCTAAAAATATCATAAATATTTTCAGTTTAAACGAAGTTAGGAGATAATATAACATAGAGGGACTTAAATAATGTTATTGTATCTGGTCATCGAAATCGTGTTAGTTTAGTATTACAAATAGACTGCATGGAGAGACTTTTAAGCTCCAGCAGATGTAAGTATTGAGTGAGACAGTATCAAGGCAGCATCAGTACAGTTTGGCAATGTGTCACAACGATTAATGACGCCATACAAACCCATCACTAATTAGGCCTTTTATGAAATCAGCAAAACGTCGAAATTATCTCTGTCAGTTGGTTCCATTGTAAATTTCATGACTTTCATCTATCAAAAAACATAGTAAAAAAAAAAAAACCGCATTGGCCCGTACGGGGATCGAACCCGCGACCTTGGCGTTATTAGCACCACGCTCTAACCAACTGAGCTAACCGGCCATGTGTATTTACCAAAATGCTCCCTATCAAATCGGGGTGTGTACCATACTCTTATATCTGCTTCAATTCAGTTCATAGTTGGTTAAAAAAATACGTCCGAAAAGAATGCATGACCAACCTTATTTAAGATAGACAACAAGTATGACTACAAAGTGGTATTGACTTTAGTGGGTCTATGTTACTTCTTCATGGGGAATGAATTCAGAGAGTTTCCATCCCACACATTTTATATTTTTCATTTTTATGAATTTAAGAGCCATGCATACTCTTACTGTTATTCACAATTGTTCAAATTTTGTGCAGCTATTACATTACATACTCTCAAAACACTATATAGAAGAACTGTAACTGCCAATCATGGAGTTATCATATCTGTTAGTAAGCTTTTTATATTTTCTTAGCATTTTCCCTTAATAATTGATGATCAGCTATAGAATAATATAGCCTAAATAGTTATATTTGTTTATTGAGTTGGGGATCCTCCCCCTAAAACTTTTTTTTTTAAACAAAAACCCATGAAATCTTCAAAAGGTTGGGATCGAGGTGAGATTTGTTTTATTTCCCACAAAGACTTAATTAGTGGAAAAGTACCTGAGAAAACAGAGTCTCTCCAATCTTCCTCTGTACCATCTGGCCTGGCAGACAAAGGTTACCACCTGATGTATGAAATTACCCTGATGGAGGTTAAACGTTCTGTGTGACAAGTGGTGCAAAAGCAATGTTTGTGTGGTGTTAAGATTCTGAGTTTAATAGCTTTTTTATGATTAGGCCTATTTTAAAAGGGACACAATTTCTCTTTTATCAAATAGAGAGCCATTCAGCTTTCCCCACACTTAATATTTGTAGACAGAATCATGCAGAGTCTTACTTTAATATCTAAGGACAATTCACCATGCTTACTTGAGCTTTATAAAGCTTTGGCAGTCTGGTCTTAAGTGATCCAAATAGGAAACTATCTGCACTCATTGCTCCAGCTTTGCATTATAAACCCTCTGCTTTGAAAACTGAGCTTCTTCATTCTAGTTAGAGGAGCTGTTGATTCCTTCCACCTGTTGTAAAGATAGTGAGAAGAAGAAAAAAAATGCATAGTGAATTTCCAATTTCAAACCACGGGTCTATTTTAATAAGCAGGTTTTACTAACTCTAAGTTTTCCAAACCTGAAATCAGTGAAACTCT